AAGTCAGCTGTGGATGTTTTCATCCAACTGGAGTCAATATAAGTTTAATTACCAAGCTAGCAAGAGCTGATAAAATCTGCTAGCGAGAAATGCTGGCAAAAAAAAGGATTCATTGTTAAAATATAACAAAGCATCACTAGTGGTAAATCTTCCAGAACGGAAAGCTTGAGGCACAGCAAAAATAATTTGGTGTGATGGGGCTTAGCAAAACTGTCAGTTGTGCAGTGCATATTGTTTTATTTTAATCTTTCTATATTTAGACGTTGCCATCTAGATGTGGGAAATAGGTTTTAAGATATCACCCTGCAGCAGCTCCTCTGCCCTCTCCCTGACACTAACCATGACATGATAAGCTCTTATTAGGAAATCTGTGCTGTGTAATGGCTGCAGCTCTGCCCATCTCCCAGAGTGGGCCAATAGAGAACTGGGCAAAGATGTATTTTGTTGTTAACCCATATTTTCAATCACCATCAATACGTATAGCCAAATGTATTTTTCATACAAAACACCTTTATTCCTTCCTCTTAATGTACACTTCAGAGTTGGAAAATTACCCACAGTGGGTGTTGATTGTGCAAAATGGATGTGAATATCTCAATTTCGAGTGCAGCTCTGCTCCCTGATTGATACAGATGTGTAGGCTGCAAACACAGCGATAGCAATTTTCAGCCTGTCGCTGCTGTAAGGGGCCGTTTTCAATCACAGCTTCCAATCAGCCCACTGTTATACACGATGCACTCACTGGTCCTATCGCTACCGTCTCGACCCCTAGAAGTGTAGTCCTCATTAAAATCATAGTAAACACTTATAAATATTTCAAATATGGTTACCGGTATATATTTCTCACCTTTATATGCCTACAAAAAGTGTTGGACAACTTGCGTCATGTTAAGCATAAGGAATAAGGGAAGCAACAAGGCGAGAGTTACCTACCAAGTTACATTAAATCACTATATATCAACCCCGTTCACATCATCTCTTGAGACAAGGGAAGAAAATAACAGATATAGGCTCCATATATTTAGCTTTGGAGTCTCTATTTTCTGTTCAATGGAAATGATGTTAATCATTTGTTAAAGGGATAGTAAATGTTGCCCGTTTCAAACCATGAATGCCATTTTTTTGCTCCATGGGCATTTTTATTATAAAATATCAAGAAAATCACTAAGAAACCTCCAAGCAGTCTAACATGAGCGCCCTCTTTTAGATTTGTTTACCTATTACTGAAGACTCAATAGTTATAGCACATGAAAATTATAATAGTGAACTATGTCCATTTTGGTTTCTAAGAACCAAAACTGCCATCTTCAAAATTCCTTGTTTTGTCCTACTTGCAGTCAAAAATCCAAAATGTATTAAGTCTACAATCGTTTATGGCAAATGAAGCAGCAAATCTTCTAAATGTTATATCTGAAGGACATTCCTGTTTGGTAGATTGCTCGAAAGTTACCACACAAACTATAACAAGAGTAACAATAGAAGAATAAATGTAAGTTTGATAAGAAGAAATAGTAATACCAGTGCCTAAAAATACACTAGAAATAAGATAACTTCAGTAAAATAGAAAAGACAGGTATGTGTTTTAGGTATAAAAGCAATATTGCCCATGATTTTAAAAGGTATTTTTGCAAAAGTAATACAAAAGTAATCACGTTCCTGCCACCAATCATTTCTTTGGCCAACTTTATTTTCTAAAAGTCTGTAATCTAGCTTGACGGTAAAGAGGCTGGTAGAAAGTGAATATCACTTCAGGAAAGCTTAAGTGTATCATCGTGGGATGCACTTTATGCACATCTTTAAATTAGTGTGTGTGGAGTCGTGTAATGTTGGCAGCACGAGAGGTTTACATGTCACAGTGAGTGAGTGCTAAAAATGATATATGACTGAATCATTGTTTTTGACGTGCAGGAGTCGCACATTTGTTTACTCATTTGAGGTTGCTTCGTTGCATCAAGCGCAGCAAAAACACTGAAATATAATTGACTGCTTTGTCCTTAACTGTACGCTGCCTCTCTTACTGCAGCGAACAGAGAGGTAAATTGTGTTGGACAGATGTGTGTTTGTGAATAGCCTTTTTATTAAATGTGTATGAAGATCAAAGTGAACACACGTCTTCACCATTTCTTGTGTTGCAGCCTCATCCAATTTCTAACTCCAATGACAAGAAAAGGTGAATTAAATAAAACCTCTGAATTCATCAGAATAACAGAGTCATCTTTACTGAAACAGGGGAAATATTTAAGGAGGTGTCACATCACAACTCAGCAGAAATTACACCTAGAGGTGGATACATTGTTTCTCTGTCAAACACATCCTACTCTGTGAGGGAGGACTATAGGTCTGTTAGAAAACATAAATTTAAACCGAGTCTGTTTCATCAGAGCGGAGGCACTTTGCTGATAGGATGTATAATTGTGATATGGAAGAAAACAAATTGTTTAGGACAGAGTTTGAGAGCACAGGAACCCACTGGGACAGCAGAGAAAAACAAATGACCATGCAGGCAATCATTGTCATTTTAAATGCTCCCTCAGCTTTTAAGAGACCTTGTTATATTGTCAAGCCATAAACGTAATAGCAACAATCGTTTTCTGAGATTCTGGGGGAAAACCAACAGTTCATATAAATGGCTGTAAATCTGTCCGCTCGTCTTTATGTGGGCAACGTCTTTTTCTAATGGGGGTAATGCTCAGTTCTGCCAAGAGAACTGCAAGGAAACTGAAGTTAAGGTATATTGACTTCAACACATTGTATTAAAGTCAATACATGTAGCTTTTGTGACCTGCCAAAGATTATGGAGCTTATTAAAGATAACAGTGGAAATGTCAGACAGGCTCCAAAAAGATTTGACTTTAAAAAAGTGCGAGTAAATCTACTTTCTAATCCATTTATCTGAAGCTATTGTTGATACAGCATTAACAAAATGGTGACAGGTGAGTGGAAAAATGGCATGCAGATTGACAACAACTTTTAAGAAGAAACCGGTTACAACAAAGGCTCTAACGAACACATTTTTTTCATTATTGATTGATATGCTGATTATTTTGTTGATAGGTCTATAAACCACAAAAGATACTACATTTCTCAACTATTAGAGAAAACAGAAAAATACTTAAAGTGGCTATAATTGATGGTTTAATGGCCAAGCTTGTAGCACCCCTCAGCTTTACAGATCTTCATAGAGTTTCAGATCCTTGATCATCTCGTCGCTCTCATATCGCTTTCAGCAGAGAAATGCTCTTAAACCCACTGTACACAACCTGTTCAGCAACAAACCAAAGACACTTAGCAACCAGCCTGTGAACATAGCTGAGATTGAGCTGCCAGGAGACAGGAGTGGACTCTTTGGTAGAGACCTAACACAGTGCTAAAAGTGTGATTACTGGACTAAAATTCACCAGGTGAACACAAAAATGTCTCCAAATAATGATGAAGTTGTTTAATCTGTGCTTAATGTGTAAATAAGCAACTATATCAACTTAAAGATGATGATATCTCTTTACAACTTCACAACTATGTTTTACAAGTGCATCCCTGTTTGGTTTGTTTGTCTTTTCACAATGCACGCAGAGACAGAAACGCACACAGGCAACGTGTTACACACTTGTGCTGCCGGTTTCAAACTGTTCCTCTGATTGACAGCATGTGGCTAAAGTGCAAAGAAATATAATATTTTGAGTGTAAACGCAGCAAGCTAGCAAATATATACGTATGATTGTAATTATTGCAAAGAATGGCTTTGTAAATGTCTTATGTGTTGGGGAATAATTTCCCCTGCATGTCCTCTTTCGCCCTCTGACGCAGATGCCCAGCCTTGAGCAGCCGTTATGGGGCTGCCCTAGCATTTTGGTGTTGTTACCAGTTTATGACCGAGCAACTCTCGGTTGGAGATAGTTATTGTTATGGGACTCCTGGAACACATCCTTCTCTGGGTGTAGATGACCCCGAGCCATAAGCGACAACAAATGTGATTCAGTGTCCCTCGGCTGTTTAGTCTATCTATTACACAATGTTGATTATTCTCTCAGAACTAGCTAAATACATGGGTCTGGGGTAGAGTTCTTCAGAATTGATTGTGGCATCTCAACCGTGTGGTCAAACAGTGGACAGTGACATGTCTTGTGAATTCTCCGGCCGAAGCTCCAAATAAACCGTCAATGTTTGCCATCGAAGCTCCAGCTCTCAACCGTGTCTCTTTGAGTCATGAGTTCCGATTGCTACAGAAGTTTCCCCCACATTATGTAGGAAGGGAATGCAGTCTGCATTTGTGAAAACCTCAACAAAACCTTTGATTATACTCAACTCTACAGGGCACCTTTAATTAATCCATTGAATAACTGATTGATTAATAAATGACAGTTATCATCTCAACACTAATCATTTCAGACAATACGCATATGTCAAACAACAATACTGAACTAAAGTGCTTTCCAATTTGTTAACATTAGACAATTTTTCCGAGAAAAGACCTTACCAAACTTGCAAATGTCACTCGGGTTTGTGTATTAGTTGTGGCCTCGAGCAACAGACACAAACAACTTTTTTAATCAATGTGCATCTACGCTTTAAAATACTTGAAAACAAAAAATTGCCTTTTTGAAGGAAGGCTTCAAATCTAGCGAAAATGATAACAGACTAATCATTTATGCCTCTTTACTCTCTCAAGTAAACAGACCAAAATATTCAGATAAACTCTGATGGATCAGTGCAGATAAAAATGTAATTTGATGCATGCTAATGTAAACAGATGAGATGTCACAACTTTCACTGACACAGAGAGTTGTTTTCTTCCCGCAAAATCAAGCCTCATAAATGGACCCTCTGGGGCTCGGAGACAACAACATTTGAATATCTACAGCCTTTTCATCTCAAAGATAATCTCAATGTGCCTCCCATGTGCTTCTTATCTGAAGGGCTTTTTAAACTGGCATATCCCTGAATAGACAAACCCACTAGGCTGCAATAAGCCATAGCTGCAGTCATGGCATTAGTGCACCCAGAATTCTTGCAGCACTTGTTCAGATTGAAGTAGTAATTCCAATCTTGGCATCTTTGCCACCTCTCCGTGAATGAAACATGTCTGTGTGGTGGATCCAGCCCACTGCGGGGTCTTTGTAGTACGTTGGGAAGGACATGAATGTCTCATCAATGGCATCTTTCCATGGCAGTAGATTTTGATATTTCCACTAGGGGAGTAATTGCAGACAGGCATGGCCAGACTGGCAGTACACACACACACACACACACACACACACACACACACACACACACACACACACACACACACACACACACACACACACACACACACACACACACACACACACACACACACACACACACACACACACACACACACACACACACACACACACACACACACACACACACACACACACACACACACACACACACACACACACTCTTGCCCACTTCACACTGAGAAGGGCCACGATGACAGTGCTAATGGTATCTGCTATCAAAGGCAGTAGAATTAGCCATGAAGGACAACACATTTCTCAGACACAATCTTGTTAATTGGGATGTTTAGATGAGCGGAGTAAACAAACTTACAGCTATTAATAACACCAGAGAGGCATAAAGGGAATTGTAGTAATGATGCAAGGGGAATGATGTAGAGGAACTGTCTAATTGTAATGCAAAGCCACAGGAATAGGCTGAGAAATAAACAGACTCTCATTCATGTCTTCAAAACTGATTGATGGGGATGGTGTGACATTTCCACATCACCGTGCCGAGCACAGCCGTAATTAGTTGCGCTGCAAAAATAGGGTGAATCAGGCTTTCTTTTCTTTTTTTTGCTATATTCATGCAGGTTATATTTCTGGGTACGGAAGGTAAAGAACAGCACTCAAAAGTTGAAGTCTGTGGGAAAAAGAAACTACAAAAGGTCACTCCGCTCTCAGCAGTCATATATCAGCTGAGACTCCAGAGCACGACGGCGCGTTTGATCCCCATGTTCCCTTTGCACCCAAGATTGTTGTTGTCAAGTAACTTGTGAGAGCAGCGTAATCAGAGAAGTTTCATGAGTTGAATCTTAGAATTATCTCAAATCCAAAGAGAGCGGGGGGTTAAAACTGTTCAAATTAGAGAAGAAACACTTTGATCCCCAACAAGACGTGTTACAGAGAGTTTCCAAGAATAATTGTGTTTCCTACTTTACTTCCGGAAAATAACTTCTCCAGCTTGTCCTCTGGGAGGACGTCAGAGGCAGAAGCTTGCCAAAGGTAATATTGCCTTTGGAAAAGACAGTGAAGACTATGCATTATTCATCACATCTGGTCAGCATCAAAGGCTAGATGTGAGCAACAGAAAGGTATCACTGCTTCAGTGTTATCAGCAAAGAGACCGCTACAGTTTTTGTTCTTCGGGAGCAGCTTAACGAGATGTTGTCTAAGGAATAACACGTCAGATCAGAGCTCAGAGCTGAGAGAGAGGGAGGAGAAAGAGAGCACTCTCCCTAAGACTTCCTGATTTTTTTTTTTACATTTTGATGTTTGACAGCAAATAAATCAGTCAAAAATTGCACAGTTGCACTCATCATAGCACCAGCGGCACAGAGCAGGATCTGATGGGTTTAGCTTTACCACCTAGTGGTGAAAGGCACCTTGAATTGAGCTTTAACTGACACAATGAATCTGTGCTGTGAAAACGATTCAAAGCATCAAGAAACAGGGATCCAAAAAGCTGGAAGTTATTATTTTACATGCAAAACAGCCAAGTATTTCTTGAAATAACACCATTTCATACAGATAAAAGTTCATTTCGTCTTGTAAAAACCGCCAAGCGTCTTCAGTGTGCAATAAACGTTTAAAGGTCCGGACACACCAACCCGTTTTTGGCCGTCGATAGATGTCGCCCTACTCAGATTGGTGTGTCCCGCACCGTTGTGTCTTTTCGGCCGTGCCTGTGACAGCACACCTTCCGCCACCGATTCGACATGTTGAATCGGGAGGCTTTCGGCTAAAGGCCCGGACACACCAGGCCGAAATCGGCCGTTTTCGTTAGTCGGACGACGAAGCGTGCCCTGTCGCCCAAACTCAATTTGGTGTGTCCCGCACCGTCGGCCGTGACACGCCTTATTTGACCTTTCATGGCCGACGCTCGGCCACAGGCAGTCGGACAAAGAAATCACTCTAATTGGCTGTTCAGCTAGCGAATCAGTGCATGAGAAGCGAAACGGTTGCTTGAGAATGTCTTCCACAAGCAACACTCCAATGAGCGTACTGGAGCTGATAGCTCCAGTACCGTACGAAACATGTTTTCGACTGACGAGAGTGAAAATGGAACGCACACGCTATTTTTTGTTTGTTTATATCACGTAGTCTGTTCCTCTTCTCTGTCTTCCGGTTGTTGCCTCTTTTGAATGAAGAATACACACCACCGCCGCCTGCTGGTAAGGAGAGTTATTGCCACTCACGCATGCGCAGTTCGTACGTGCTCGGCTGAAGTCTTTGCGGTGTGTTCCAGTGCGACACATGGCCAAGATGCAGGAGAACACTGCGACGCAACAGTCGGCGTCGGCTTCGGCGAGTTCTCTGGTGACTGCCTGGTGTGTCAGGGCCTTAAAGGCCGTCGGCCAAAGAAATCACTCAGCTTAGCGAATAAGTGCAAGAGAAGCGAAACGGAAGTGAGGGACCCAAACAAACGATTAAGAAGGCAAATCTGAGATTTCATTTAACTCCAGCTCTCGACACAGGTTCGGGAAAGCAACATGAGCTTCTCGTTGTAGAGTGAAAATGGAACGCACACGCTATTTGTTGTTTGTTTATATTACGCAGTCTGTTCTTCTTCTCTCGGTTATCACGCAGTCTGTCTTCCGGTTGTTGCCTCTTTTGAATGACGAATACACACTACCGCTGCCTGCTGGTAAGGAGAGTATTGCCACTCAAGCATGCGCAGTTCCTACGTGCAACTTGGCCGTCGGCTGAAGTCTTTGCGGTGTGCTCCAGTGCGACTCTTGGCCAAGGCGCAGGAGACGTGAGGCGACACAACAGTCGGGTCCGTCGGGACATGTTCTTTGGTGTCAGTTTGGTGTGTAGGTCCCTTTACTGTGCTCTACCATTTTAGTACAATGAACCACACTGATCCATCCATCAGATCCATCAGCTGATGCGAACCTGCCTAAGCCCCACTGACTGAGTGCTGATTGGGCCCCCTCACCCCCAGCTGGCCTATCAGCAGCCAGAGCCAGTCATGAAAGAGGCACTCTAGGAAGCTCTAACGCTCTCTGACCTTAAAATGTAGCCGCCTGGAGTCTCTGTGAATTCTGTTAGACTCAGTAAATCTTTTAAGATTATTGATTATCGCTAAATGTGTGTGTGTGTGTGTGTGTGTGTGTGTGTGTGTGTGTGTGTGTGTGTGTGTGTGTGTGTGTGTGTGTGTGTGTGTGTGTGTGTGGTGGGAGGTTCAGGATTTAGGTCAGTTTGGGGTCCCCTCTTCATCTCACCACGTAGGTTAAACTTTGTAAGGCACACTAGTTTATGAGATGGTGGTGTTACTGGTTCCATTTTCCCCAAGACACACTTTGCGGACTCGACAGTGTTGCATTACATTTACTGTCTAAAGGATAGCATAACATTTATGGCAACTGTACAAACATTTTTAAAACACAGAAACCTTACAAAGGAGACTCCCTCTCATGTCCCATATAAAACCGGAGATCAATGCTGTCTTATTTGTATCACTTCCATGCTTAACAACACTTTAGTAGTTATTTTCACGCAAACAACAATCTTTTCCTAAACAAGAACTAGTAGCATGGTAGCCTCAAGTTGCCCTGCAATGTGGGGGCATGAGCAGGCAAATTCATAACTTGTGTTGCTTGACATTTGAAGGAAACCTCTACAAAAAATAAAAAACCTTTCATGGGATATCATAACTGTTGTATGTGAATACGTTAAGCACAGCAAGGACAAAAGGTACTGGTTGTAACTATAGCTGGGACTATTAATGCACTTTTCATGTTACAGTTCAGCAAGGCATCTGATCTAGAGTGAAGGAGAGAAGTGAAAGATCAGCACCAGACTCAAAGCAGCTCATTCTGCAGGCACAGGCCCAACACTCACTCAGAAGCAGAGAGAGAAGGGGACAGAAAGAGATGCTGGGGCAGTTGGTTGGACCGCAGAGACCGCCGTCTGAATTCTTTCTTCCTAATCTAACGATGACTCTCACAACAGCAGGGTACAACAAATATCTAACATCGCTTCAACAAAAGGCCCATTTTGCACCCATTAATCGACAAACTACACCAGACCATAACAGTAACTGCTCTCCGTTTCTCGGACCACTGAATATTTCATAAAACAACATTTGCACAGCAGATAAAGACATCTAGAGGGGCATTGTGATATATGTGTGTTTCAGGAGGCGGTATGGGAGGACAGCTGCGAGACAAATGGACAGAAAATGTAGGCTATAAGTTGGATTTAATTTCACAGAACATAAAGCATAGCCTTTATTAGTTTTTCTCTCAAACTGTCAGAGTGCTCTAAAGCCATAGGTCATGGAATATGCTATACCTTGAAACTATTGAAAATCAAATGATAAACAATAACCATGGTTCCATCCTTCCTCCCTCCTCATAAATAACACTGTAAGAGCCCTTTAGTCTTCCTCACTGCATCTTAAAGCATCTCAAAATGAAACAGAAAAGCTATTTTCCTGTATTCACAAATGAAAATAAAGACATCTTTTTGTCTTCATACCACATTATTAAACTATGAAACTCAGGAGGAATAAAGAGAAAAACAAGCAGAGGGGAAATGAAAACTTTTCTGATATCTGATTCAGATAGATTACCACTGAGCTTCATTAGCAGTAGGTCCCTTAACTGGGCTGTCTACCCTAATTGGTGTGCCTGAGTGAAACATTTAATGAGCGCCCTGCACAACAGAAGTGACAAATACATTTACAGGCCGTCAGTGGTCCTGTTTGCATTAAGCACTGAGAGCTTTATGTGCATGTCTCACATTATCACAACAGCAAAAG